TAAGAAGTTGAGGTTATGGCTAACGCAGGGCATGTAAAATGCTGTTGGATTTATTTCTAAGATCCGTGCCTGTACTCAAGAGTGGATACTTTTTATATTGGAACCGTTGTCATACCATTGTCCCCTTCAGTCCCTGATTTGCAATCCAATTTCATCTAACTCTTGTACAAGAACATCAGTTAGAATATTTCCCGTTGTTGATTTAACGTCTAAGAATCCAAGGTAATGTTCTTCGATGCTTACACCTTCATTTTCACTCTTAAAAGAAGTTGCATTCATACTAATTTTTACAAATCACATTACCAATGATAACTGCTCCTTCCGAATAAGATCCGGTGTGCAGCACCGGATCTTATTCGGAAGGAATAAGATTGGGATCTGTTCTTTAAAATTCCCCTCTCCGGTCTCTTTTAAGGAACTTTTTCAAACGCTCAACTAAAATTAAACGAACGTTAATATGACCAAAATAATCGATTCAGTTAATAGTCTGATAATCCATCTATCAAATTCAAATGAAAACAGAAAACTTAAAAACCACAGGTCACTGTGTTTAAACATGATTTTCTCAGAAACTAGATCCCGCCATGTGGTCTCTTTTCTACAGCGAGGTCACATACTATTTTCACTTAACCAAAACTTTTTCATATTTTTTAACGACAATAACACATTTTATTTTTTAACAAGAGTAAGGCATTGCTGGGCGAGGCCTACTTTTGTTAACAAGTAGTAAAAGTTTTGATTGCTCGTGTTTAGGATGCCCTTGCTGCGCGAGGCCTCCCTGACCGCAAGGCCGGGAGTGGTTGCTCCACTCGCGCCACCCTAAGAACGGTTCTGCATTTAAATACATTTACAACGAAGACTTCTCCAAAGAATGGAATTTTATAAGAAAAGGCCGACACCGAGAAGAAGTAGGGCCAGAGGTGATTCTACGAATAAAATGAGGGAAAGGGGGTGGGAAAAATTTAAACAATTTAAAATGTATTCCACAAAAAGATTGCTCAATGTTCTTAAAAGAATAATTACAAATTAGTAGATAATCACTTGCAAATTTTTTTTCGTTTAACACTGTGTTTCATCAATAAAGATTCATCAGAAATCTCTGATGAGATTACAATATCAACTTTATAACAGGGATGTGCTTAGGGGTATTTTATAACAAGCATATAATATATATTATATGTTTTAACTTTTTATTTCTTTTTTTTTTTTTTCAAGTTGATTAAGGTGCCCCAAGAAGTCCTTACGGTCTTATCACAGAGTACCGCGGAAGAGCATTTAATAGGAAGTTCACGCTTCCTTCCCAACCGATGTCGCAAAACTTTCCCAGAGGTGGGGTTTGAACCAAAGATCTTACGTTTCTGAGGCAAGTGCGTTACCACTGCGCCACAGCTCCATATTTTTTAATGTTTTAAATGTGTTCCACGGCTGCACATTTTTTAAACAATAACGAAATATAAAAAGTGAAAACTAAATTAATTTATAAAAAAATCTTTCGTTTTAAATTTTTAGAAAATTGATTTCAAATAATAAACAAATCTATGATTTACACTATAAAGGTGTTAAATAAAAAGAAAGTTTAAGCGCGTTAAGGTTTTTGTTACCTCTTTTTATTTATATTTTTGTGAAATTTTTTTATTATTATTCTGATTTACGTTAAAAATAAAGCTACATCATTGGCTTTTCAGAAATTAATTAACAAGTAAACTGTTGTCATATAAATCATTCTCTGTAGTTAAGAACCGTAGCCATTTTAAAAGTTCAAAAGTTTTTCATATTTTCTTACGCTTGCGTACCTAAACATAGCGCTTTTTACTAATATCCAAACGACCGTGTATCCTGCAGACAAAGTAGCAACATGGATTTTTGCCTGCCCTTCTCTAATAATTATTTTTTAAAAAGGATGACCTTTAAAATATAAATTTTTAGTTAAATATATCAAGTGCTACTTAAAAAAAACATTTTTGATATTTCGAATTTGTTTTTGCCTACCCAATCCATCATGAAAAACGCAATTTCTTGAAATGTGTCTCAATAAAATTACTCAGTTTTGATATTTTGATCTGTTTGTAAAAATCGAAGAAAATAGTGTTATGAGAAATTGTGTGTTCTATAATAGTGAAGAGGCCTAAATATAAAATTAAAAAAAAAATGAAGCTAGGTGTTAAACAGATACAAACTCTTTGATTTTTTTTTGTATTCTAGAGTGTTTTATTTAAATTTAAAGAATTACTCAGCAACGATTATTTTAAAATTCAACGGCTGCGAATTACCAATTAAACAAACTCATCATCTTTTGGCATCACAACGTTTAGATGTGATAAAAAACACTACGAAATCAAGTTAACAGAGCTGGCTAATTATAGAAATTCAATTCAAAAAATTGTCGTAGCGGTTAATATATGGAGCCTAAATGGAAGGATTAAAATACCATTTACTTTTCTCCGTTTTAAAACCGGCTATTTATATATATATATATATATGTATATATATATATATATATATATATATATATATATATATATATATATATATATATATATATATATATATATATATATATATATATATATATATATATATATATATATATATATATATATATATATATATATATATGTATATATGTAAATTAGTAGAAAATCACTTAGCAAAATTTTTTCTTATTTAACATTGTGTTTCATCATCTATAAAGACTCATCAGAAAATCTGATGAGTCATATATATATATATATATATATATATATATATATATATATATATATATATATATATATATATATATGTATATATGTAAATTAGTAGAAAATCACTTAGCAAAATTTTTTCTTATTTAACATTGTGTTTCATCAATAAAGACTCATCAGAAAATCTGATGAGTCTGATAAGATCTGATGAGAAAATCTGATGAGATTTTTCTGATGAGTCTTTATTGATGAAACACAGTGTTAAATGAGAAAAAATTTTGCTAAGTGATTTTCTACTAATTTACATATATACATATATATATATATATATATATATATATATATATATATATATATATATATATATATATATATATATATATATATATATATATATATATATATATATATATACATATATATATATATATATATATATATATATATATATATATATATATATATATATATATGTAGATGGGCATATTTTTGCGTCACGGCAAGGAAGGAGGCGTGAACTTCCTGGTTAAATGCACTTCTGCGGTGCTCTGTGACAAGACCGTTAGATCTTCTTGGGGCGCCCAAATAAAAAAAAATATATACATCGCACGTAAACATATTCCCATTCTTTTCTGCACATGGCCAACACATTCTTGTTTCTTTATTGTTATTATATAATATATTTTTTATTTTCTGGCGAAATGCCGTTGTGCATAATATAAAAGAAGATTGAAATCAAATGAACAAGAATATTTTATCTATTGAGAATATTATCTATTGAGTAAATTATTTATTGAGAAAATAAATTTTTTTTAGCTTATTTTTGTAAGTCGAAAAATTCCAACTTTAGTAAAAATCAAAGTTTTTAAAAATTATTTGGTTCCACAAAAAAAGCTTTGCGATATGAAATTTGTATGCGAATAATGTTGATAAATGAAATTATTATTTCTTAGATCATGTTTGAGTAAACTGTGATTTCTTAAGCGAATCTGCAATATCTCAAGTCAGATGAAGCGCAGCGTGTTCAGTGGAATTATTATTTTTTTAAATCTATATTGGCTTGTATTTAGTATTTTATTTATAGAAAGATGATCATAAATTTTATTGTAAAGGATCCATACAAAAATCTTTTAAGAACCAGAAAGTACAAAAATTGGATAATAATTAGTTATATTTGATGATTTATTAACCCCCCTCCCTTTCTTTAAATATTGTTGTAACTTTGGCTATCTTTAGTTGATCAGGAAAAAGCTAATATATATATATATATATATATATATATATATATATATATATATATATATATATATATATATATATATATATAATAGCTTCAAAACTCGTAGTTGTCATATATCTAAAGTATGAAATACCTCATATATAAAGTATGAAATAACCTCATTTTTTTGTTTTGTTTTAAAGTAAGTCGTGATAATTATCCCTAATACTAAATGATTTTAGAACGCAGCTGTACCATTAAAAACTTTTAAAACAATAATTTTTGGGATCAGCGTTATGGTTAATGCGATCCGTCTCTTTTTGCTCCGAAATTACTCTTCAAAAAATTACGAAAAAATGACAAAAATAATACGAAAAAATATTTTTTTTGAAGAATAAAGTTTTTAATTATAAATAATATTTTAGTCGTTTTTTCGAACTTATCTTAAACGCTTCGTGCCTTTTTGATGAAATGCTAATGAATTTTTTAAGTCAAATTTTACATTTTAAGAAACCTAAAAACTGTAAAAATGTATTTATTTTATCGCATTTTTTTGTCTATTTAGTTGCTGTTGCTATGTAATGCTAAATATAGGCTTTAATATTGTATGTGGTAATGTATGTATATTTTTTTAAGTTTGCGTTTTTTTATTCTACTGCAAAAAATTTTTAACTCTGTCTTTCTGAACTTATATAATTAAACTTTATGTTTTTTCGAACATTTTTTTCACTTAAAATCTCTTTTTTTCTATTTTATTTAGATTATTACTTTTATTGTGTTCTGTTTACTACTTTTTTCTTAATATTGTAGTTTTTATTACTTCTTTTTTTATTGTCGTTTACTTTCTTTATTATTTCCTCGTTTTAATATTTCATTTGATTATTTTAATAAGCTGTCACTCCATTGACTAATTTTTAACTATTTTAACGAGTGACGCTATACCTAACTTTACATATAATTAAATTTATAATTTTTGATTATATGGTTAAATAAATGGATAAAAAGACTTTCGCAAATTTTTATTATTCCTACCAAAATAAACATTACACTGTCTTAGATTAATAACTCGATACCGAAATAAAAAAAAAGAAACCGAATTAGTTTATAAAAATATCTTTCGTTTTAGATTTTTACATTACAATATAGATACAAGATTACAATTAGATACAATTTAGATACAGGTTGATTTATTGGTTTATAGGTCTTCTAATTAAAAATTCTATTTTAGTGATTTATTTACACGTGAAACCAATAAATTGAATCTCACCTACGGGTTAACTAAAAACTGTACAAAAAATAGGGGACCATTTGGATACACCACACGTTGAAATTACATTTTGCAGAACATAGCGTTTTAGTCGACCTCTTCCATTCTAGCTTTATCTTCGTCTTTTTCCGAATCACCTTCGAGAGGTGGCACATCGTCTGTTGCCATTTCCTCTACGGCTAAATTACAAAAGAAAATATAAATAGCAATCGAATAATGGATTATATTTGAGGCTACTATTAGTTGAAAAACATGATTACCACAACAATACACATTAAACAAAAAAGCTAATGAAAACAACTTACCACTTTCATCTTCATCGACACCTAGACCAAGTTTGACCATACGATGAATGCGAGCAGCATGATTTTGAGGATCCTCAAGCGAAAAACCTGACGACAGAAGTGATGTTTCATATAACAAAACAATCAAGTCTTTTATTGATTTATCATTTTTATCTGCATCAACTTTCTTTTTAAGGGCAACCATTATACTATGCTCTGGATTTATTTCAAGATGCTTTTTAGCTGCCATGTAACCCATTGTACTTGTGTCACGAAGAGCTTGCGCTTTCATAATTCTTTCCATATTTGCTGACCATCCATAAGTACTAGTAACAATGCAACATGGTGAATCAACCAAGCGATTAGAGACAGTGACTTTTTCAACACGTTTATCTAATATATCTTTTATAACCTAAAATGCAAATTAATACCATCACAAAAAATTGAAATCAATAAAACATTTATTACTCATTAATTCAACAAACAAATTACTCATTACCCCCTAAACAATTTCACAGGATAAAATTTAAATAAATACCTTGCATAGCTCCTCAAAACTAGCTTTTAACTCTTCTTGTTTTTTCTTCTCATCATCACTAACTGGCAATTCTAATCCCTCTTTAGTAACACAAACTAATTTTTTACCATCATATTCTTTAAGTTGTTGAACAGCATACTCATCTATTGGGTCAATAAGATATAGAACTTCAAAACCTTTCTTTTTAACTTTCTCAACAAAAGCAGAAGTTGAAACAATTTCCTTGCTTTCTCCAGTTATATAGTAAATGTCTTTTTGATTCTCTTTCATACGAGAAACATAGTCTTTTAGGGATGTCATATCATCACCAGATGCTGAAGAATGATATCTCAATAAATCAGCAACTTTAGAACGATTTTGCGAGTCCTCATGTATACCTAGCTTAATGTTTTTACTAAATTGTTCATAAAACTTTTTATAATTATCTTTATCCTCTGAAATCTCAACAAAAAGTTCTAAGCATTTTTTTACAAGGTTCTTACGAATGACTTTTAATATTTTACTCTGTTGCAACATTTCTCTGGAAATATTAAGAGGCAAATCCTCAGAGTCAACCACACCTATAACACAATATTAATCACTAATATAAACAAACTATAAAGATATTTAAAGATCAAAACATAAAAACTAAAGTAATGAGCAACATTCAAAATGCTTATTTTAAATAAAACTAATTAAACAGCATATATACTTAATTCAGTTAACTCAGATATATTGAAGGTCATTAGAGCTAAACTCTTCATATATTAAGCCTCAATTGTCATCAGTGTTAATAGAATAATAGTAAAAAAAAACTAAAAGATTTTAAATACCTTTAACAAAGTTAAGCCATTCAGGCATCACTTCCTCACAATTTTCCATTATAAAAACTCTTCTGACAAATAATTTAATTGAATTTTTTTGTTTTTTATTTTCAAACAAGTCAAATGGAGCCCTTTTAGGAACAAATAAGATTGCTCTGAATTCAAGTTGGCCTTCAACAGAGAAGTGCTTTACTGCAAGATGCTCTTCCCAATCATTAGTCAAACTTTTGTAAAAATCAGCATACTCTTCAGAGCTAATATCATCTGGGTTTCTAGTCCACAGCGGTTTAGTTTTGTTGAGTTGTTCCATTTCAGTATAGTTTTCCTACACAAATATAAAATTTAAAAAAAAAAATTTAAAGATTAGAAATTAATCAAATGTTTTTAGAACACTAATTTAAAAGATTTTTAAAAATAAAGATTATATTAATAAAATCAAGGACTCATAAGGTTACTGTACCTTTATTTTCTTTTTTTTCTTTTTGTCTTTTTTCTCAGCTTCTGCATCATCACCAACATCTTCTATTTTAGGTTCATCTTCATCTTCATCCTCCATTTTTTCTTCAGATTTATCTTTTTTCTCTTCATCTTCAGCTTCGTCATCAGAAACCTTAAAAAGAAAAAAAATTACTTGACAAAATTTTAAACTAAAAAGTTGGAAAAAAAAAAGTTAAATTCTAAATACGATCTTTTTCAGAATTTTGACAATTTAGTTACTAAAAGAATATTTTCTAGCTAAATTTAACGTTACCTCCTTGTCTCTAGTTTTCTGAACTCTCAAATTGATTGGATATCCAATAAACTGACTGTGTTTTTTAATGATATCTTTTACTTTTTTTTCTTCGGAAAAATCTAGCTGATCTTCTTTCATGTGCAGTATAATTTTTGTTCCTCTACCAAGTGGTTCATTGACTGTGTCTCTTTGTACAGTAAATGAGCCACCAGCAGAAGAAACCCATATATATTGCTCATCATCATTGTTCTAAAGATGATTTGTTAAAAATATTATGCTATGGTGTAAATGTCATATCGTAAATTTATATCACTCTTTACACACAACATACAATAACATGTACACTGAGGCAAATTGAAATTGTTAGAACTTTTAAACCAAAACAGAAAAACATGTGAAATAAAAAGGTGCTACTTTATAACATGATAGAGACTTCAAATTTAATTAAAAATTACTTTTGTTATCACTTCCACTTTATCAGCAACAAGATATGCTGAATAGAACCCGACACCAAACTGTCTAATCATGGATATATCTGCTCCAGCTTGAAGAGCTTCCATAAATGCTTTTGTACCTGATTTAGCAATAGTGCCGAGATTGTTAACAAGATCTGCTTTTGTCATACCAATACCGGTGTCAAAAATAGTGATGGTTTTTTCCTCCTTGTTTGGTATAATGTCGATCTTTAATTCACTTCCAGAATCCAAAACAGTCGGATCGGTTAGTGATAAGTAACGGATTTTGTCTAACGCCTACAACATGAAAGCACAATAAACGAATCTGAGTAGTTCAAAATGACAAAAAAAATCTCAGAGCATAGAAATAGCAATGATAAAACTTACATCTGAAGCATTAGAAATCAACTCTCGCAGATAAATTTCTTTGTTAGAGTAAAACGTGTTAATAATCAAGCTCATTAGCTGAGCTATCTCTGCTTGAAAAGCGAAAGTTTCAATTTCACCACCTTCAACCATTTTTTAATGTATAGCTTATTTCGCAAGAAGTCGTGTTAAAGAACTCTACAAGTTTGAAGAATTACTTGATCTGCAAAAGGTTACAGACAGGTAGAATTTATAGGAATACCAAATGGCACCGCATTAACGCTTCCTCGAAAAACAAGTCATTTTTGATTGGTTAATAAAAATTCTGCTTGTTATGATTGGATGATTTTTTAAAATTGTAGCTTATCTGGAAAGTTCTGTAGCATTGATCGTATATTCGAAACTTCTAGTACAACTATGGAACGCAAAAAATTAGGTCATACTTCAATCGAACTTTTTGATAACTTTAATGTATGACGGAGTTACATTTAGAAAATTATTTAATAGATATATGTCTTCATTCTTGTAGAACTACACCTTTTCTGGATCAATTTAAAAGGAATACGAATCAATTTAAAAGGAATACGAATCAATTTAAAAGAAATACGAATCAATTTAAAAGAAATACGAATCAATTTAAAAGAAATACGAATCAATTTAAAAGAAATACTAATTTAAATTGATTCGTATTCCTTTTAAATTGATTCGTATTTCTTTTAAATTGATTCGTATTTCTTTTAAATTGATTCGTATTTCTTTTAAATTGGTTCGTATTTCTTTTAAATTGATTCGTATTTCTTTTAAATTGATCCAGAAAAGGTGTACTTACCTAAATAGGTGTAGTTATCTAAATACAAGTTAAAGCGCAAGCTAATATTATGCACAAAAGCAATCGTTAATACATAGACTAAATTTTAGTGGTTTTAGTCAACCGAAATTTAAATGCTGCTTTCAACGGTATCGTGTTTATGTTTTAAAAATTAAATTATAAATACAAAAAGAACATTAGATTACAATTACTATTGTAATATAGTGTTCTGTTGTTCTAATTATAGAATTAAAATTCTTTTCAAATAATAATTTTGCCTAGAAAGCTCTAATAAAATTGCTCTTTTAAAATGTAAATAATTCTACTATATCTAAACAAACTGTTATTTGCAAAAAGTCAAGGTCTTACTGTTTCATTGAAAAATCAAGTCAAAATTTTTTAGAAAGCTTCTTACAGTCAAAGGCAGAGAATACTTTGTATTTTGCAAGTCTGTTTATCATATTATCAACTCTATCTGTTTATCATATTATCAACTCTATCAAGAAGATGCACATATAATTCAATGTAAAGGTTAACTGTTTGGGAGTAATCAATGCAGAGTCTTTTTGTTTGATTCAACCAAATCCTTTACAACCACTATTTGGGCTCTCCATGGTGAAAAACATGGCTCAATTATACCATTCAGTAGTAACTGTGATATTTTGTTTTCAATATAGTTTTGATCATCGTTATTAAATCTTACTTGATCAGGTTCTATTCTATTATCTATTTTTCTGATTTTTTCTCTGAAATATCTAAACAAAAAAAGGTATTCTTGTTTAAGTCATTTGCAGTGCGCATATATTGTTTTCCCTTATAACTATTAAGTCCTTGTACAGAGGAGATCAAGAAAGTTTGTTCTAACTGCAATATTTGTTCAGAATTAAAACTTTTATTGCACTGCAAATGTCAGTAACTTAATCAAATCCATACATTCAATGGATCATCTCATTACATCTTAATTTATCAATATCAGTTTACCCCAAGAGTTAGATTGCAATTTCATGTAGACATTTTACAACAACGGTTGTGAAATGTTTGCATCAAATATTCTCTTTTTGTGGATTTCCAACATATTTATTCTGATAGAAGTTCAACATCCATATCTAATGAATTAAAATCTTATCTTACTCAGAAAGGAATTGCAACAAGTAATTCTACTCTATATCATTCTATCAGTAATGGAGTATCAGTAAGTTGAGAGATATATTTTGATCTGGGAAAATATTTGTTTAAAAAAAATAACATGCCCTTCACTCACTTTGTTCATTACTATCAACTGCAACTAATTGTATACCCCATGAGAGGTTGTCAGTTTTCTTCGGCACTCATCATGCAGAACCTCATCACCATCATGGTTCCATCTTTTTTAGAGGTTTTCTGTGAACAAAAAAAAAACAATTTTGTTGATCAAATTGTATCAGTGAATGTAAATACAGCAAGTGCAATTTATTAACCGGATGGATAAAAATCCATGGTTTTATTTCAAGATCTTGCAAAGTATTCTGTCCTATTCTTTGACAGTTTGCATGTGTTTTCCCTTATAAGATAGTTCTTATTAATAGTAATGTTTGTTCAGTCAAAAGTTAAACCATAACATAAATATTAAAAAATCTTTTTTTTTAAGTTTTTTTTTATTTAAGATATGCTTTAAATTGTCAAATTGTTTGCCACTACTAACTGTATGCGTCAGCAAGTTTTAATAGCTATCCTACCAAAATATGGTCGTTGAAAAGTCATTTCAATTAACTATAAACTAAATCAAAGTGTGTATAAAGATGCTCGTAAAAAAAGCTGATTTAAAAATTTCGAGTTAAAATTTGAAACCAAAGTTCTAAAAAAGTGAAATACAAATAGAAGTAGAAATTGGTTCAACCTTCCCTTGGCAAAAATGCTTCAACAAATAACGGAAAACCTTTTTTAAAATTAATAGACAAACATTTTCCTCCCTTTAATAAATTGCGCAAAATTTTTAACAGAAACACTATTAAAGTAAGCTATATATGTACAAAAAATATTGAAAAAATTAGAAAAGGCTATAGTTTGACACTGATTAATAAAAATGAATTTCTAAAAAAAAAAGTACTGAAAAATGTAATAGTTTATCAAAAAATATTATTTACATTGTTTTTTTTCCTCGCAAAACGACCCTGATAAACAATATATTGGCTTAACCGAGGGTTTAACAATGGAAAAATGTTAAACCAACTACAAACAATCTTTTAAACATAAAAAATGTACTAAAAAGAGACTATGCTGTCAAAATATATTTAGCAAATAAAAGAAAAAAATATTAATTTTAAATTAAAATGGTCTATTCTGAATGGTCTAAAACTGCGCCTGCCTATAATAAAATTTCCAAAAAATGTGTACTATGTTTACAAGAAAAATTTGAAACTATTACTCATTTGAATCAAGAAAGTTTACTAAACAAAAAATCTGAATTAACCTCTAAATGCAGACATGAAAACAAGTACCTTTTAAAAATTTATAAAAACAAATGACGCAACTAAAATTATCTTAATTATGAAGAATTTTTTTCATAATTAATTTTCTTCCTTCCTATTCCTATTTTGTTAGTTTTGCTTTCATTATTTTTGAAACAATGCTTTTTATTTAATATAACAAAACTTCCAAATGGTCATGACCAAGCTGCCAGCATTAAAGTTATTGAAACCTAAAGGTAAGTATGCCAAATTTTTTGTAACTAAAAAGTCCAGCATAATATGAGGCAGTTTCTTCTGTTTAGAAGGTTGTTTATTTAGTATGTTGAGAAGAGTTCAATTAGTTTTTTAAATAGCTTTTAAATAGGATTTGATAATTACCATATCAAATAGTTTGGACAAATATCACAGCTTTATTCTGAAGTCGTTTTGCAACTTTATTGTAAAGTTATTTTACAATTTATTTATTTAGCCTGCAGACAAAGCAGATATTGAAAAACAAAATAGGCTATTTCAGATACTATCTTGTATTTTTCCAACTTGTGAAAAAACTTTCTAGAGTAGCAGCAGCAGCACAAGAAATGTGTGACAAATGTATTTAACAGGTATATTTCAATATACCTGTTGAGAATCAAGTCACATTTATATAAACTGGATTTGTTTACTAATCGCTGATTTGTATTCATGTCTGATATTTCAGATCTTAACTGAGATATCCATTGTTGTTTATTGCATAATTTTACCATGGTTTCAATAATTTTTTTGTTTATTTGTGATTGGAGTATTTTATTAATTTAGTTTGTTTGTGATTTTAATGTATTGTTACTGTATTTGCTTTGATTAAATTTATTTTGTCTTTGCAGGTTAATGGTAAATAAACTGCAATAAAAGTTTAAATTGACCAGATCTAATACATAACACACAAAAGAGGTTGGATGTCAAACTTTAAATCATAATATAGGTGTTATTGGTATGTATATTATATTTCTTTGCTTAAATATATATATATATATATATATATATATATATATATATATATATATATATATATATATATATATATATATATATATATACACTTACTCTGCTTGATAAGTTGATTTTTTTGTTTAATTAGATTTTTTTATCAATTGCTGTTCCTTCTCATGTCTTGATCTTTATTTCAGGATTTATTTCTTTTGTATATTAGTTGCTGTTATTAAAAAGCTTCTGAATTATGTATTATTATTATTATGTATTGTTATTATTACTAGCTGTCATGACCCGTAAAGTACGGGTCTTTAGGATATCGATTGCACACTTTATCCGCGTGCTTACAGTTCATTAGAATTCGTATCCGGCTTACAACGCAAAAAAATCTCAATCAAATGAAAACATCTAAATGATAACTTTTAATGTCCTAGATGCAAAGATTAAATTTATTGATTGCGTAAACACTAACTTTAACATATATGGTATTTGCGAGACATTTCTTGCAACTTATGTCATAATTTAATGGTGACTCTCAAATCCTAAAGGATAAGGGGGATATAACCTAGGTTGGCACTTTGTACCACAGCGATATTTATAATATACAAAAAAGCTGAATTTCTGTTTTTGTATTTTTGATCAACAAAGTTTTTTCTCAAAAAGACTTGGAATATGTCAAGAAAGTTGGAAACTAAGTGTTAAAAGACTTCACGATAAAAACAAAATTTTGAAATTTGTGAACGATTTTTTTTCTCTCGTTAGCGAAGTTGGTTCTGTGTCAAAATGCGAGGATCAAACTTTTGAACAATATCTTTACATATGTTGTCTATATACAATATCTATAAAACTTTATAAGTATTTGAATTTGTATTTTAAAAAATCTAAAAAAAATTAAAACAGTAGTTGCCAACGGTAGGACTCGAACCACGGCAGCTATGTTCCGAAGCCCACTCGACTAAGCTGATATCAAGTAATAAAGATTCAAAATTATATAAAAATTGTTTTTAACGGATATAAATGCAAAAGATTAGAAATC